TACAAGAGTTCACTTGTCCGTGAGAACGTATTCAGTAGAACCCGGTGAAGTGAAGTGTCGCGTGACAGTAGAACGACGGCATGGCGCGACGGTCGTTCCCTTCGCCGTTATTAAACGCTAGGTGCATAAATAAGGATATCGTAAATCATCGGGCAGAATTTTAGATACGAGAAAATCGTAGGTTCTCGAGCTATCATTTGAATAAACTTTTGCGAAAGACTTTAACTCCGAGTTTTATTTAGCAGTTAGATCGAATCGGTGATTTTTAATGCCACATCCCCGCTGCCTGAAGGGGAAGCTAATTTTTTAATCGTTTCCTCTCTTTGATGTTGAAAGAAGAATTTTATCGTTTGCAAATTTAATTGTTTCTGACGAGTATCTACTATTTCTAACTACGCGTTGTTACCTTCGCTTCCGTTTGTTCATCATTTGAAATCGGCCAGTGATATATTAAAACGAGGCGAGGAATTGCGGTGTACACAGCAGCTACCAATCCATTTTATATGTATAATGCAAATAGGGCTGGTGGTTGAACGCGTTTAAGTTCCCGAATGAACTATAGCCTTAGTTAAGGTAGCTCGATAGCATTTGCAAAACATATACGATTTTTAATACAAGTTGAATTAAACAATAGTTAAAGTTCCGAACTTTCATTTTCCGTAAAGATAATATAGATTTTCCGTGAAAATTGCTTAAAGAAATGCATTACAAAATTCTTATTTTTAAAGCGGGAGTTTATGGAAACTTTTGAATAAATGTCTCGTAAATATACATTTAATAATGAAATTTTCACTTCATATCATTATTTTGAAATAAGCCCATTGTATGGCCCTCTCTTGATACGTTACCCAAATAGCGAGCTATCTTAAACAATTTCGCGAAACAATAGTCCAAACTATTTTACGATTCTCTTTTGGAAACTTTTTCATTCCTTTCTAATTAAAAACTTGTTCACAACTTAATCAGTGCAGATAGATTACTTTCTTTGGGTTATATTTCTGTACAAATAACTATCGATGCTATTATCGGGCAACTATATACTCCCTCTGGCTCTTCCAATGGGAATATCATTGAAAATATCAATATACAAGAATGTTATTAAAGCTAGAGGAAACGAGAGCGTATCGAAATTGAAATTTGAATACAGTGCGAGCTCTTTGTAACACGTAAAACGGTCATTAAACTCGCGTAGAGTCTATCAAAAGTTTCATGCATAGATTATACTCGTTTCTTCGTAACGAGAGGGGCAATTCGATGGGAAAAAAATTGCTCGGTGGGTTTCGAACTTCTTTTTCGTGCGCCGAATACGTCTGGCCCGACGAGAAAAAATAACAGTGGCTGGCCCGCGTAAGTGACAGGGTGAGTCGTGAACCGGTCGGAACGTATTAAATTCCACGCGAGACGGAAACCCCAGTGAATCATCGTGAAATCGATGATTAAAGCACCACGAGCACCGGGTCGTGCAAACACGACCAGATGGATACGAGCGATGAGAACGAGGAAGGGAAGGGGTTGCAGGCAGGCAGGCATGGGGTGGAAAGGAAACCAAAGGCCTTAATAACGAGCGGCGCAACATCCGCGAAATGGCGATTTTTCGTGTTCACTCGTAGTTTATCCGTCTGAAATTACGTTTACCCTTGCCCGGTGCGGTGGTTTTTGCTCGGTGACGGTAGGGGGTGGCGCGCGTGCAAGGAGGACGATCGCTGACGAAATCGGTGGCGCGAGGCGACGATGTTACCGCAACACGAACGAGAAAAGACGTGCAGTGATAATGTGTTCAAAACTATTTGTATAATTTCGACTTCCAGTACAAATCGTTTAAAGAAACTTATTTTTTACACAATTTTTTATCTATTGAATCAGTTGAGTAACTGTGAGAATTGGCCTATAATAAAAGTATTAGTATATCGTGAAACGATATTACATTATGATCATTATAATTCGATCTTCAATCAAAGAAGACTATTGTTGAAATAAAGTCACGACAGCATTCATTGTGAGAAGCTAACGGGGGATGAAAAATTCATTGCTTTCCCTTTTTTATAGTAGGATGTTTTAATATATTAAAGTGATTAGAGTAACTTTAACGAGAGATTGTGACTTTGAGGGAGATTTAGGTGAAACGGGTGGGAAAGGTGAATCGAGCCGGATTGTCGATAACAGGAACGCTTCGGTCCCGCTTTCTCCCCCCGTAACATAGTAATCTACGAGCGGGGCCAATTACGTGGAGTAACCAGAAGTTCCCGGTGGCCTGTCGATACACGCCATTCGAATCACGACAAATTGACGTGGCCCGGCCTTCAGTAAAGTCAACGGGAATCCCGCCCTCTCTTCCGAGATCGATTGTCGCCGCGTTGTACCCGCCGCGCGAATTAATCCTTCCACCTCGAAGGAACGTTTTCACTTTTTCACGTTTCTTCCTCACGTCGTGCTACTAGAAAATCCGTGTTTCGATCCGCTGCATCGAAGGGGAAAAAATGTTTCCAGGCGATGGAACGGGGAATGCTTCGCTAGGGGAGTTAGGCAGAATTTTCGCGTGCGCGAATGCAGAGGCCGCTTAATCCCCCGAAATAGTTGCTACAACCGGGGACCGATAACGGGTCGTGTGTGGTCTTTGCACCTGTACACAGCACGGCCAACAATGGGCCGTGCGCTCGCTTTAATGGCTCGCATCCGATCGAGATTAAACCGTGCTCACCTTGCGAATCTAAGACTACCTAACCGCGTGTATTATGCAGAAAGGATGCGACCGGCTCGGGTTAACGTGCCTGCTAACGCCCAACCATCGCCGACGCTATAAAGTTACTTTACATTTGAACACTTGCTCAAGGGTTTTTAGTCTTGGACTTATAAAGCACGTTACTGTGTTGCTAGTATTACAATTTATTTTCGAATGGGGCTTGAACCGTGGCGTAAATGAGGAAAAAGAGAAAAATAAAACAGACAGTATTTAATCGGGACCGGGAAGATTGAGTCTACTTGAAAACACAGTCGCGCACGAACTCTAAAGCATCAATTAATACACGTTTCGATGGTAGCTGATGGTTAAGTCGAGCGCACTTCCGCGTCATCGATCGGTTCGTTACCGTGACGGCGCGGTGTGACGTTTCTCTCTTTTCCCATTTCTTGTTCCCGCGTCAACGGGATTTTTATAATAGCATTAAAAAAGGGAGAAGAACAGCATCTAGTCGTCCCAATTGGGAGACGAGAGAAAGGTCGAGTTTAATTCATCGATTTATTTTTAATGGAAGGATTTTGTTTTAAGAGGCGAAAGCTTCTTTTCCCTTGATAAGGTGATTACAGTTTCGCTTTAAATCAAACGACCGAGCGATTTGCGCGAACGACGATGCAACATTGTCGAGATTAAAAACAAGCGAAAACATCTTTGAAGTGACTTGAGATTTGAAAATAAGTAGAAAATCTTGCCTACTCTCGCGGTAGTCCTAGTGGAAACGCAGTCGTCATCTCGCTCGACGCGAACCGCGCTTTCTCGTTCCATTGTACTTTGTGAAGAGACAAAGCTTTGTGCAAGTCCCCCTCCGCGAATCCGGCAATAAGGTATTCTTTAACGAACAAGTCTCTCGTAAAGTACTGCACAGAAAACCGGGGGATCGCAATGTAGAGTAGAATTCCCTTCTCGAAAGTTTACTATTTCGTCAGACCGATAGTTTGTTTGACCGTATTCTAAGAGTACCACGAGACAAAACTACGCTTGGCAAATTTTCTCTTTCTCAACACGAAAAGAGGACGTTATACCATCTGCAATCTTCATTTAGTACACTTCAATTTTTTTTAACAGCAGATTCATTATATCATAGAATTGTTACAATATCATTCATTTGTTCAGTGTAAATATACTAAAAAAATATAAAAAACTATTTGATCCGTTTGACACTATGACGTATTACTATCATATATAAATGTAGTTCCGGTTAAAAATTTGAGGAACTCCTGTTACAGAGAGGAAAAAAAAAATGTTGCTGTTTGGGTATGTCCTGAACGTGCTTGAATGTAGGACAGGGTTTCAATTTTCTGCATGACACTCGTACATACATACATATGTACTATACCTGTAAATACACGCCGTGGTGCCATTAACACGGAATAATTGACGCACGACACCGGGCGAGTTTCGAGTTCATCTGTCCTTTACCACAGAACGCATACTGCGCTTTTAGAAACTACTGCAAATCCCTGTTTCTACTAACTCACATTGTCCTGTTGTCACTTGCTAACACGCGTACCTCGTCAGTATCGATCATTTCTTGTTACTAACCATTTCCCGTGAACGCTACTCGCGGCTCGTTCGAAAGTCGAATTCGAGTGATTCGAAGATAAAAATGAAAAATCTAGTAAAACGTTTGGAAGTGATTTTTGGTAAATTGCCTATCGAGCTTTCGTAGTTCGAGTAGAGGAAACTTCGGAAGGAAGAGAACGAGAAGTAGTTCACCTCTCATCGGCGCCATTGATTCTCGTTAGAGAAATTCATTCCATTGAATCTTCGCGACTCGTCATTGGTCCCCAAGGGGTGACGTTCTTGCTCACGTGACAATTGCAGGTGCAATTATCGTAATTCCTGTTCGGTGGACGTGCGCAGCGACATTTTCGAAGAGGACCCGTGTCCCGGAACCGGAAAATACATCGAGGCGCAGTACTATTGTCTAGGTTTGTGAATATTTTTCTTTTCGACGAATTTCCCTTCGTTGCCGACGCGCGATTACAGTTTCACAATTTTTCCAAGATTTCATTCACGATTTTATACGACGTATAGTATGAAAAACAGAAAAAGAAAATCGTTTAAGAGTCTTGGAAGAAGTCGTGAACTATCGAGGTGATAAAAAAGGAGCGAAAGGTGCGAACTTGGTCGAAAAAGTCTCTCGATTGCTTCCTCCGAGCATCCGATGTTGGTAAAAAAAAATAAGGGGACAGGATCCATGGTTCTAGTACACTTTGGTAAGGGTGTACGTTTATCATGTTAACCGGCGCTATCGAAAACCCAGGTGCAACGACCAGCAGAACTGCAGCATTGTTGCGTCGACGCTGCAATTCGGCGATCCCTGTCCCAACACGCACAAGTACCTCGAGGCGCATTATCGTTGCGTGTCCGGTAAGTAAGACTCTTCCATTTATGTAACCGCGCGGTCATCTCTTCTTAATATCTCTGTACCATTTATCGTGTATCGTTTATTCTATGTACGGTATTTCATAGATACTGGAGGAGAATCGCATAGGCGCCGACTTCGCGATCGTTTTTATACCTTAAGCTAAAAATCGCTTATCAGGGATAGAATATCGCATCTGTTGCCAAATATTATAACAAAGTCATTTCACTTTCTTAGTTTCGTATAAAACCGTTAGTGTTTTCAGTGTATAAGTAATTCGAAAAATTACTAATTATTCTATAATAAAAAATTTCAAATATCTCACATAGAAATTCATATTCAACATGGAAAGATTGAAGCGTTTCCTTTTTCTTTACCGACACACGCATTCGTAGAGAACAATTGCAATTTCGCTTGGAGAGTCGAGACTATTCGTGGTTGATTTTTTATCAAACAGATTAAAGTGAGCTTGATAGTTGTCCGCTAGAATCGATTAGAATTTCCCGAAGCCGGCGCTTATGATTCATGTTGCCCACGTAACTGCGAGCCCGTGTCCCGATAAAGATCTTCCAGCGGGTTGCATCGCCTATGCACTCTCGAGACAGACGAAGTATAAAACGGAGAAAAGAAAAGATGGGGAGTCAAGAGAAGACAGAGAAAAAGAGAGGAGAGAGAATGGAGGTGGAAGACGTGATCTTTGCGATCGAGAAATCGATCGTAGGGATCGGTTTCGCGAACGAACACGCGGCTGGGCGTTTAACTTTCTGACGTGTTTCGGACCCTAATGAAACTTTTCCATACTCTTAATAAAAGGCGAAGAGAAACAGAGAGAGCATCATCGCTTCGAGCATCGATCGTTCGGCTCGATGATACTGCGCATCGACCTCGACGCGACGTACCGCTTTATTGTGAATCTACATACGTCACGTTTTCAATTAATTTACCTGCGATCAGTTATTAAATAGCCGTATCAGTTTCACTGCTGGTTGTTCGCCTACTCATAACGCAGCTCGAGCTTTCGCAATCTTAAAATTATAAGCGGCTTGACATTTCCATTCGATTCGTGGAAACGTAACTTTCACTGCGAGGCAGTCTACCCTATTCATTAAACAATCACACCGTTTCTTGTTAGATCCTATTGTTGGATAAATTCCTGCAATTTATCAAATATGCCAGAGATCATATCTCATAGCTTTAGATTTACAATTGTACATACACTCTTAAAAAACTGACAAGTGAGTCATTGTATTCATCAAGATTATAACTTCAATATTGCAATCGTCATAAGTTTGGCTACTTTAGACGTTCGAACAAGCTTACCTGGCGCCAAGAGATTGAAGTAACTTTTACGATATTAATGTTTACTGGTCACGATCTATCGAACAGCTGGCCAACAACATAATCAGTTGTCAGGCCATAAACTGTCAACCCTCTCTTCTTTTCTGTTAACTTTTCGCGATTTGCAACGCCTCGTCTTCGCCGTGATCGATATCCAGGGACCTCGATAGATCAGTCCCGGGGCACAGGCATATTCGAGAGAGGGAGTAAGGGATCTGCTGGTAGCCCCGATATACCACGAGCGAGGAAGCCTCCTAAACCGTTTCTCTCTCTGTCTCTCCGTCTCTTTCCCTGTCTCTTTCGATCGTCTCCGTACGTGCATATGATCGTCTTGCTCTCAGCGTAGCCGACTATCGTAACGGACATCGGCGACGTCCGGTATTTTACCTTATCGCCAACCCCTTCGGCCAATAAAGATGACCCCTATAGAGATAGTGCCGCGAAATACGCGGACCATCCCGTTCAGGGATTAACTGCCGTCGCCATCTTGGGTTAAAGATCGTTTTCTCCTCTTAGGCTAGATATAGCCGCGATATCGGTGCACGAAGGTAGGCTAATCTCGTCGCTCGGGCTTCGACTCAGGCTCGCATACGTTTTCGGGAATATTTCTGTCCCAATCGATGTGGACGTCACGATATTGTCTCAACAAACATCAGGACCATAGGACGTCCGTCTGTTATGAAACCTGTATATCCTAGGTACAACAATTCTGAAATGGACTTGGACGGCTCCGGCCGTGCCGATGGCGATTGTCCGTTTCAGAGAATATCCGCTAGCATAATCAAACATACATACATTCGCGATATTGGCAGCCCAATTTATGAAATACGTTTTAAATGTAAAAATGTTGAAATGTTGAATTGAAATTAACTTGCAAAAGACCAAATACAAATCTATTGAGTTACGAACATAAGAGAGAGAGAGAGGGAATGAT